GGGGGAAAAAGAGAAGGAAAGGGAGCGGGTGAGGGAGCTCATCTTGTCCTCGCGCTCTTTTCTTTGCGTTGTTACTGCTTCTTTCCTTTCCCTGTTCACTGGCTCCTTTCTTTGTTCTTTTTTCTTGTTTTTTTTTAATTTCCCACACTGCGTCTGTGCGTGGGCTTTGCGAGTAGAGAGCGCCTGAGCGAGAGAAGGGGTTTGGGAAATGGAGAAGATCGTCCGTACGGTGTACCGGCAGCTCTACAAGAAGGCTGCCAGTGTCGACAAGGACATCGCGCTGCGGTCCGTTCTGACGTGCTCGCCGCAGCGGGTGTACGACCATCGCCGCGGCGGGTGGATTGCGTTTGACGTGGCGAAGCAGGCGGGCTGGCCGGAGTCCCGCGTCTTCCTCGACGGCCTCATTCGCAGGCTGAACTGCGGCCGCGAGTTTTACATCCCACAGAATGGACGCGACGCTGACGACAACTCCCGCAGCGGCGGCGGCGGCGGCAGCAGCAGCAGAGGCGGTGCTAGCGGCAGTGGCAACAACACCAATAATGATGGCGGCAAGGAGCCGTCCCCCTCGCTTCTGCAGGTCCTTCGGACGTCCTTTGAGGAGACGCCGTTTTCTATTACGCAGATGAATAACGCGTTTGCGGCACTGAAGGAGCTTGCGTACGTGACAGAGATGGCGTCAAAGCACTACGGCTCGGGTGTGTCGCCGCCCCCGGAAGCCAAAACGCTTCCGACGCCCAAACTCGCAGTGGTGGATGCCGTGGAGGAGATGCACAACGTGTCTCTCACAAAAGGGCTGTCGGATGCGCTGGAACGAATGACTGGCGACCAGCGGGGCATCCTGAGTCGCACCTCGGAGGAGGATGTGCGTGTACGGGGGGAGAGGCAAAATGTGGCGGGGAAGGAAGCCGAGGAGGAGGAGGAGGAGAACGGGGCTGCGGCGGCCTCTGGGAAGAAGTCAAGTAAAACGCCCTTTGAAACACCAAACTCAGTGCATATGCTTTTGGCACACCCCCAGCTGTATGACTTCTTCCGCTACAGCGTCATGATAGTCATCCGCTCCACCCCAAATGAGTCTGCCGCTTTCGTACTGAACAAACCGCTGGAAAATGACGAGGGCATGACAATGCCTGTGAATGCTACGATCCGTCTGAACCATGTCCACCCTATTTTTGGCAGGCACCTCGCTAATCACACCGTGATGATTGGGGGCCCTGTCAGCCGTGGCTCCTTCGACTCGAGCATTCTCTTGCTGCATCGTGTCCCTGACGTGGACGATGCCATCCCGGTTTCCCGCACGTTGTGGGTGGATGGGAACTACGACGTGCTGCAGAAGAAAATTGAGGACGGCACCGCCGACGCGAAGGACATCGTTGTGATTTGCGGCTTTAGTGGATGGGGCGGGGACCAACTCGCGGGGGAGATACGCTCCGGCACGTGGGTTGTAGCGCGCGGCAGCACCGACGATCCCGCGATGGATGACTTTATCTTTGCACTCACAAGATACGCCGGGGCCTCGTCTTCGGCAGCAGCACCACAACCAACGCCGGCGCCAGCATCAAGAAAAGCCACGCAGAAACCGCCATCGGGAGAAAACCGTAGTCGGAGTGCTGCGGTGTGGTCGTGGGCCTACGGCGCGCTTGGCGCACCATACACAGAGCTTGCTCGAAATCAGAAGCCCCTCATGCAGGGTCCGCAGGAGAAGTAGCGTGAGGTCGCAAAGGTAGTGGGATGCGGCCACGTTTTTTTTTGGGGGGGGGAGAGAGATAGCGGCCGAATTTCACTCTCGCCGCGTGCGTGCGTGCGTGCGTGTGTGAGAGTGAGTGTTAGGAGGAGAAGCGGGAAGGGGACGTGGCGAGAGGCGGCAACGGCGCATCTGCGCCGTGGTAACCACACCAAGAGGGAGGCAAAGAGAACCGAAGTAAGGCGGAGCAAGACGTGCATGCGGGCAGGAGAGGGAGGGAGAGGTGTGTCGGTGCGGACTGGCACATCATGGGCGAAGATGAGGGGGCGGTAGTCCATTTGGCCACTTGATACGTTTGACACACGCACACACAGCGAGGAACGAACTCACACATGAAGGTAAACAAAAACAAAGAAAAATAGTGAACTTGCAGCGAATGCTTGGATTGAGCTTTTCCTTTGTTTTGTTTTGCTTGTTTTGCCTGTTTTGTTTGTTTGTTGATGGCAGCACTTCCCCCCGCATAGGTTTAGGAAATGCGCGCCAAAACTACTTCTTTTTTTTAAAAAAAAACCTCTTTCTCTTCTTTTGCTTCTCTGGTGGGAAAGTGTGTGTTCGGAGTTCTGTCGCTAGTCGCCAGCGAAGATGGGAGTTGACCTCACCGGCGTCCAGAAGAAGAAGCGCGTGGTGCGCCACCACACGTACTCGACGAACCCGTACATCAAGCTTCTCATCAAGCTGTACAAGTTCCTCGCCCAGCGCACCAACTCCGCGTTCAACAAGCTCGTTCACCAGCGCCTGCTGAAGAGCCGCAACAACCGCGCCCCCGTCTCCCTGAGCCGCATTGCCGTCTGCATGAGGCGCAAGTCGGTGTGGCTGGAGAAGGGCAAGAAGGCCCCCATCGCCGTCGTCGTCGGTGACGTGCTTGATGACGTTCGCATGATCCGCA